AAATGAGGGCGTGTACACCATTCTTTTCGTGAATGGTAATTACATGTAGAGAATGGATATACTAGATACATTCATACGTACTATAGGCAGCATCATAAAACTTCATACAAATATACAACATGCATTAATGCTGGTTAAGAAAACAGAGGCAAGTGGAGTGTGAAGAAAGTGAGTTAGGGAGAAAAAGAGGGAGGGAGGGAGGGAGGGAGGGAGAGAGGGAGAGAGAGAGAGAGAGAGAGAGAGAGAGAGAGAGAGGGGGAGAGAGAGAGAGGAAGACAGAAGAAGAAAAAAGGCTCACCAGTAAATTTTATCGCCATACAAAAATCCAATTTAGTAGAAGCGACAGAGTGTATAAAAGTGATGCATAATTGATGTTGTAAAGGAGATCATTGACCGCTATATGGACTGCCCGGTGTTCGGGACAAGGTTTCTCGCTCCGTCAGATGCTGCTGCTTCCACACGCCATTATTTTTTGAGGATGCGGCGTCGATAAAGGGGGGGGGGGGTTCTTTCCCTTTTCGTGTCTTTTGGTGTTCAAGCGAAAGGCAAGGGTGTAAATGATGCGGATGTATATCTGACCGTTTCTCCTGTAATGACCTTGTAAGTTGTATAGCTGTGTGTTTTAATAGCAGACATCCATCTCTTTGTGCAGACCGCCGCCACACGAACCTGGGAGCAGCTCATCTATCCCTTTTACCATTGTTGTCGTTGTTGTTGGTGGTCTTCTTTTGATCTGTTTTGTCTTCGCATCCTGGGCCCGTCGAACTGGAGCAAGCTAGGAGATGGATTGGTGCATTAGGGGCTGGGCTCGTGATGCATGGATTCGATCAGTGAGCCAACAGAAGGAGAAAAAAAAGGAAAAATAATGGGAAGAAATGCTTGACGGTAAAGAACATTCGTCGTGTGAAAAAAAGGAACAGTAGAGGGGGAAATGCAAATTTAATGAAGTTTTACTGTAAAAAACACTGGTAATATGAACAAACCCTTTTAGCAATATAGTATATTTTGACAATTTAAAAGATAATCTAGAACATGGATATGCGTTAATTTCCCAAACAATTAATGATGATGATGCATGATAATTATAATAATAATAATAATATTATCAATAATAATAATAATAACGATATCAATGATAAAAATAATATAATCAATACTGATAATAACAATAATATAAATGATAATAATAATCATGGGCAATTTTCAAATTATATGGGATTAATGGGAATATATTAAGTGATCTGAAGAAATGCTTTATTTTTATATTCTGTTTAAGAAAATCAAAAGGGTATACAAACTGAAAACGGACCTTTTACATGGAAGTATCATTAAATTATTATGTCACATCATGTTAGGCAACCAAGCAAATAGCAAGTTACACTGAGGTTTTCCACATTGCATTTGTTGTCATGTATATCTGTTTTTTTTCTTTTTGATTATATCCCTTTCGTTATTTGATTAAAGCAAGTCCAGGGTACACGTGTATCCCAACGTTACTAATAAAAGTAATGTTGACAAAACAAGATCACTTAATTTGATTTTCTTCTGATTCAAGCTCTACTAGCGCTTTCAGCTTGATATAATTATATAGTCAATGGGTATTAATTCTAGTGAAATCTCCCTTGCGGTAGGTAAACGTATAGCTTGACTAGCCCATTAAGACAAGGTGATCAATTTTGGGGGAAGATTTTGGAAGATTTTCCCTCAAAAGACCAACATTTTGTCATACCTTAATCCTTTAATTTATCACACTCATGACAACCTACACGTCTGCATGCAGCAACACGTTTAAGAGGATCATGTATCTAATAACACATCGCGCCTTTTTTTTTTTTTTAACCAATTCGGTGTTCCCTTACTTGAATAATGTGGGTTCATGCGAGGATAATGTTCCAAAGTTCCAAGAATTTGCTGGACCGACATGCCCGTGACCTTCAAAGTTCCTTGTAATCGCACAGAATACAAGACATTGAACGGGATTGATTATGATAGCAGCCGCGGCGGCTACAGGATTTTCTTCCCGCGGGGGTGGGGGGGGGGGGGCACAAGTCCGAAAATCGTTGTCTTTGATGAGAAGGGGAAGAAGAAAAGAACGACACAATTTTCGGTGCCCTTTTTTGGGCGGATGCAGATTTTGTAAAAGAAGGGATACAATGTTTTCTTCAAATTTTCTGACAAGCAAACACAAGTCATATCCCTTCAGGGGTGGGGGCGCGGACGGGGGACAAAAGGAGATTTGGTGTTTTAAAATGGGCACGGGCCGGTTGCGCCCCCTTAAATCTGTCCCTGATCTTTTGAATACAAAATTCACAGATAAGAAACAAAGAATAAGTGACATTGCTAGGTGGTTTTTAGTAGAGAAGGCGCGGGGGGGGGGGGGGGGGTTGGGCACGGATAGAAAATTCCATTATCTTTGAGCAGAATAAATCTCCTGAAACCTGAGATGATTACTGTAACAATTCCCATATTTTCTCATAGTTATTAGTCTTCTGTCTTTTCAGTGGTTGACTCGCTTATAAATCTGTTCTAAAATATTAAAAAGGAAATTTAGAATTTTCTAAGGGAAATAATTATCGTGCCGACCCTTGTGGTAGAGTGAAAGGGATTTTTGCAGGTATATTTTTTGGTTAGGACAGTGTTTTTAAAAAAATAAATCATATGGTGCACTTATCTAATTCAATAATGACATGCCTTGATAGTTTTTTTTCAAATAATTGTATGCATAATTAATTCAATTCAATACAATTCAATTCAGATTTTATTGATTGATATCCAAACAGATAGGATCATTCTAAATTTTTAAATAACATTGGATAACAAATGTCAAAATTATAGTGTAACATAAATAAAAATTGAGTTTAGTATATAAAACCAATAACCAGGAATGACACAAATTAACGTATTACTGTATGTCTCTTCTGGATTATAATACAGGGATGAAAATAAATTAAATGTTATCGGAAGAATTGCAACGTAGGCTCTCCCCCCTCCTCTCTCTCATTATTTCTCTTTCATTTTACTTTCTTTCTCTCTTTCTTCTTCTTTCTCTGTCTCCCTCGATATCTCCCTCTTTCTTTTCTTTTTTGCCCCTCTCTCTCTCTCTCTCTCGCTATCTTTATTCCCCTCTCTTGCGACGTCTTGTCACCTCTTTCTCTCTTCTCCTCTCTCTTTCACCCCTTTGTTTCCTCATTCATTTTTCTCATTCTTTCCCCTCCAATACCAATGGCCCTAATGGTTTTACCCCTGTACAATTACGCATGGAACATACATACATGTAACTATATAAACGATTATCATTTTCTCACATTATTCTATTTATACACATATATTTTTCGACATTCGTTTTTTATTTTCGTCTTCAAAATCTGCAATTTGTTTGTTTGTTTTGTCACATCAATAAGTTTCATAGCGCGTTCACTCTATTACATGATAGGGTTGTATTTGTTTCATTATTTATTAGGAAATTTCATTCACATGGTATATACATGAATATTTTGTTTTACAAAACATAACCATTTTTACAACTATTAAACAAAATTTATTTTCTATTCTATCATCATGTAAATTTGAGCGATCTTACTACTTTCTATTTTCGTATCGCATGTAAACAAACCGTTGAAAAACACACCGAATTTATTAAACGTTTGTTTCACTGTGCTGTTAGTGTCAAATATCAAATGGCTGTATATATTAAGAAAGCGAAAGTCATTGGGAATTCCACTTTATGTTTTAAGGCTTGCAAAAATACATCAAAGGTTTTTTAAGGTGTATTATACAATGTATACCTCACTTAAAGATGAAGTTGAGTTCTGGTCATGCGATTGCATTGTGAAAGAAACGGTGTGGAATTGACAGGAAAGGTTGATCATCTAGCATATAAGAATTTGTGTGTATTGCAAGGTTCTGGAATCATCAAAATGATAAGAAATTTGGCCAAGTGTTGGTAAAGTTACAAACACTGTACACAGAAAGATGTATTTGGGACTACACGAACACGTGGCGTAAAAATCCTAACCCCGAGTTTTACGAGGTTACATGACATATTTAGAATATAAAGGCATTTGAAGAGCCATGCTTTTCAGAGAACATGTCTTATCTGATGTTCTTCCACACTTGCATAATAAGAATGATAACGCTCACAAATTATTTTTCACCTCTTCCCAGAACTCAACCTTCTCTTTAAGAAATCAGCCATCTGATTGGTCGAAATTGGAGTCGTTACCGTAAAGAAACGAAAAATGTCAAAACCGGTTAATAGTCCAAGAGTGAGATCCCTCAACATTCCGGTTATCATGCAAATAGTTAAATTTTGCTGCAAGAGAAAATAAATATATTATGCAACTGTGATTCAAAAGGTGAAATCTATACCCACACGCCTTTCATACTGCTGTGTCATCCCAAGGGCTTCGATAAAAAAAAAAGAGGTCAAAATGCAATTTTTGTTCTGTTTCTTTTGTTTCTTTCATTGTCATTTCCAGTGTTAATTTCCTCAGAATAGTTGTTGCCAAATACTACTAGATTTATCGACGCCTTTTCAACTAGGGCCTTCCATACGACTTGTGAGCGGTCGTGTCATATTTCAGATGCTTAATGTGTGACCATGAAAATGATACTTGACGGTTTGTCCAATTACCACAAACAATTTTGACTGACATCTTTCACAGTTATTCTTTTCATCATGTGCTTTTTCTCTTTCTCCCTCTCACAAACAACATCAAAGAAATAGATTTGAAGTTAGGTTCAGGCCCTGGAACGCGTCTAAATGCATAATATCCGCAATTTGGTCTTTTCTAACTGTCTGTGCTGGTTTTGTTCTTCAAGGTTTATGCTCATTTGGGGGCCTGTAGCCATTATTCCGTCAGCTGCACATTTCACCAATCAGCTTGCGTGAAGTCCTCCGGCAATTCGTCGCATTGGCCAATCAGCGCACAGATGCTAAATGGGTCAGGGTAATGAACTCTGAATCGAAAGGCAATATTTCATGGGGGAAAAAAAAAAAACTACAAACACATGTCTGCCATATACGTGCACTACTGTACAGCGATATACCGTACGCGAACCCCCATTCATTCAACGTACAAGTACAAGACCAAACGATCGGTGCGATATGATGTGAGATTTCTATTTTCATGTAATAACCGCTCACTGTGAAACCACCGCGCAGTGCAAATGTGATTTTAAGGAATATTCCCGTATATCTGGACCAAGAGATAAGGTAGAGTATGATTATTTATTCTTGTATTTATATAGGTAGACGTCTTTGCATAGCGTGTTTAATGAAGCTGAAGAAAAAGATTGTTATGCGATAACAGTGCGTGCGGCATACATGTTGTACGGTTTTTGCATGTCAACACGACATTGAAATTGAACGTGAACGAGGGACGGGTATTGGAAGCGAGAGTCGCCCGATACACCGGCTATGCAGCTAAGCAGGTCCGCGGTAGAAAATATGGACGAAAAATGTCACTTCGCGGTATTTAAAGGAGAACGTCGACACATTATGTATTTATCCCAGGGGCCACTGTTAGACCTTAATTGTGGCCTTAAATAAACAACCGTGAACTCGGTTGTTTGTACAATTGCCTCAGCCATAGTTTAAAACCTGAAGAATATTATAAATATAATTATACCGGTCGATCATGTATAATCATTATTCATAGTCATACACTCGTGTACATGTACACTGCAACGTACCTCCGATCCGGTTGAGATATTTGAGGAAAATGTTTCTTAGATGTAGTGCTAATTTCCTTCACTCGAAGCAAACTCCAATGTAAAAGCACATGTTTATGTCTAACATTACAAACATGCCCCTTCCATTCCAAAAATTGATGTATTCATTATTTCATCATACACCTGCTACAAACTATATTCCCCTAAAGTAAACTCTAAGGGAAAAAAAATACCCTGATCCAATAAAGATCTATAACAATGATAAATTACATCAATTATTGATTTGTGTACATGAACATGTATGTAGGCCTACATGTAGGAACTATACAAGAAGGCATAATATATATCAATATGCATATCTGTTATCAGTATAATTCACTCATTAAAATATCTTGTTTATTAGGGAACATAATATGCCTATTACTAGTATTACTGTTAGCAACAAAATGATGTATGAAGTGTAGTGGCAATATACTCACATGGAACTATACCTATATAACTAGAAATGATGAAATAGGTATAATATTTTTTGAAGGAAGATATTTAATTTGGCCATGAATCTATAAAGTCTACTACAGCATTATGGTATGGCACAGAGTGTATCTCATACATGTAGTTTGAAGACAAAATATTATTTGTCTATTTGCATCTAATATTTGAGATAATTGAAAAATTAATCACAAGCATTAAACCATAATAATGTAATTTGACTGACCAAATACCATTCCAAACTGAGTATACATATGATACTGTATAAGATTACTGTAAAGCATTGTAAAGGAAACTAGAAAATATTATAGCTGCTATATATTACTTCTAGTTCTACAACTATAGCACAAACTACAACCAGAACAAAACAATAATAACTACACTACCGCTAATATTAGCACTACTACTACTTCTACTACTTCTACTACTACTACTTCTACTTCTACTATACTACTACTACTACTACTACTACTACTACTTCTACTTCTACTTCTACTTCTACCTTTACTTTTTCTACTACTACTCCTGCTACTACTACTACTACTTCTACTACTACTACTAATACTACTACTACTACTACTACTACTACTACTACTACTACTACTACTACTTCTACTACTTCTACTTCTACTACTTCTACTACTTATACTACTATACTACATGTAGTAGTAGTACATTACTACTACTACTACTACTACTACTTCTACTACTACTACTTCTAATTCTACTTCTACTACTACTACTACTACTTCTACTTTTACTTCTACTTCTACTTCTACTTCTACTATTACTACTTCTACTACCTCTACTTTTACTACTACTACTTCAATTACCTCTACAACTACAACTAGCACTGCTGCTACTTCTACTACTAGTTCTACTTTTACTACCATACAATACTGCTTAGAAAATTCAAAGGTTTCTGACTTTGTCAATAGACCTGACAAAGTTGCAAATCATATAATGTACAAGTAGGAATCCAAAAATGGGAAATTGAAATAAAAAACGTTAAAAACTTGATGGAGGTGACCATAACTAAAATTGCACAAAATGACAGATTTAAGATATAATGAAAAGCTGGAAAAATGTAGACAACAAATTACATTTGAAGATATTTAAGTTACAAATAGAGGAAAAAAGGGGTGTAATAATGATGCAATTTCCTGATAATGTAAAAATGATATTAAACAAGTTCATATTTTTAGAGCTCAGTGACATTACTACAAAAGATTATATTCATGAGAGATTTAATATATCCATGGCGCATAGGGACATACAGTGTAGATGTACTTGTATGTGAGTTGGTATACACTATACAAGGATAGAACATTAATATCAACTTTATTGTATTGGAGAAGAATGTACAGGTTACCATAAATAGTCAAAAGGGATGAATGTTTATATAATTTGTGAAAGCAGTTTGGATTTTGTAGGCTACAAAAATTCAAGTTTTTATAACTGTAAATCAGCAGCATGTCACATAAGGTTTTGTATTAAAATTTAATGTATTTTGTAGGAGCTTGTTTGTCAGTAAAATTATGTTTCTTTAAACAATTTCTCACAACAATTGAAATCTCTCCCAGGAAGCCTAAAATTCAAAGATAATATTAAGTTGTAAATTATACATAACTATACATTCTCAACTTTTCTATCATAGATTTATTGTTCATGAATCTATGCTAGAATATAGGGGAAAAGGGCATGAATATATGATAATTCTCATTTAACTCCCACTTTTCTCCATGTACAGTACACCTGTATGTATTAGTAAAAAAAAATTGGCAAAAGCAAAATTGACACAATAATTGTCAGAAAGTTAACAAAAAAACACTTCACAGATGCATTAAACATATTTCTCTAATGACAATTCTTGTCTACATGTAGTTGGAAACATTTCACATGTATGTATACTTTTACTGTACTGTAGACTTTGGAATTCATTTTGTGTTTTTTAGGAGATTTTATTTTATTTTTAGAAAATGGCAGGCAGTTCATTAATACCCTTTATCATTAACATTCATTGGAGAATTTCCAATGAGTAAATATTTTGGATAAGTTAGGCTATATTTTCATCCCCAGGACATTTCTCAAAATGTTTGTACATATTTTTTGTTTGAGACCAAAGAATTGCTTCTTTTTAGTGAACAAAAATATACCAGAACATGTTCTTGTTGAGATTTGCTGCCCATATCATGGAAGAGGCTAAGAAATAGATAATCAGCAAATTCAGTATTCAATCTACCACTATTGAATTGGTGATACTACTACTACTACTACTACTAAAATAATAACAATAATAATGATATTGATGATGATATTAATAATAATAATACTAATATTGATAATAATGATGATAATGGCAAGAATATTAACAATAATACTTTTGATAATAATGATAACATTTACCCATGGAAGCCTCATCTGCATAAATGCTATTCTTCCCAAGGGCCCTGCAATCATTATTGTCCTAGCAAATGCCAGGTACCCACACCTGAGTGGAGAGTGATAAAGGTGGATTAACATCTTGCCAAAGGATGTACATGCTCGACTGGGATTTGAACCCTCAAACCTTGAATCAAGAGTCAGTAAATGAACCACTATACCACAACACCTCCAGAATATTGCTAGCACTACAAGTGGTAATGCTATCGAACACTTTTACGATCTTCATATTACATCTTTACTTTCGCTACGTGACTGTTTTTACTTCAATCACATGGTACTATAGCTACATGTAGGCTTACATGTACTACAGCATTAATGTTTTTGTCTACTTAATTCAAAGTAGCTAATTATCATGTCATTGTACTTTCGAATACTTGAAATTTCCCTTTATACATAGTGAGAATGATCACGTCCGCATCGTAATTTGCCAATAAGGAACTACAGAAGTAACAAACACATATTTTTGTAATGCAATGTGATATCCCTCCATTATTTCTGTTTTTTTGTTTTTGTATTATCACTGACTACATCTTAATTGCAATATTTATTTATCCGACACTTAAGCTTATTGTTATGTAAAGGGACTTTCACAGTTTAAAGCAACACATGTATTGATATCATCAATATTTTGCATATTATGTATTAGTGGTGTAGCTACAGAGGGCATGTGGGGGGGGGGGGGGCGGCATGTGCCCCCCCCCCCCCCCCCCCCCCCCCCCCGGACGAGGGGTGAAAAGAATATAATACAGAAAAGCCCAGAAAGAAGAGACAGGGACTTGGAGAATGTAGAGAGGACATTTAAAGAAGACACTTGGACAGTCTTGTGCACAGGTCAACCCCATGACCAGTAGCCATTTATTCATTTCCCCGGGTAAGAAGTGTGCCCCCGAATAGTCCCAGTGCCCTCTCAGTGAGTGAACTAATGCTAAACTAACACCACTGGTACATACATTTACAGCTGTAGTAAAAAGCTTTAACATCTATCCTCTGTAAAGCAAATCAAGAGCCAAATCCAATTAAAAGGAGATAAAAACACTTTTTAGTATTATATTTAATTGTAATAGATTATATAAGGTTGGAAACCGAAAATGAAAAGTGTAATGTACAGTGTACATGTGTACACCCTGTATGTACAGTAATTGGTCAAAACAGCAATATACAAATTTGTTGCCATTTCTTAGTAAAAAAAGGAGGTGATCGATGGAAAGGTCCTAATCTAATATTTATTGATGCCACACAGATACATTTGTATTTTATGTCAGCTATCCCTAAAACTGAAATATAAATTTTATCTTTTAATCTGTAAATTTACACAATATGTGAATATCTGTAATATCGGAAAATTTGTGGTCCCATTATTGGTATACCATTTTACTTTTTAAACAAAAGGAGTGGTAATGGTGCACTACAGTCGGTTCATAATTTTGAGATTTTATAAAGTGCTAAATAAATATGTTTTCAAATTACTTCTGAACTTTGGTATTTTTCTATAATTACTTAAGGTATTCCGGTAAGTTATTCCATTTAACAGTGGCTGCACATGAACATTACCTTTCTCCGTAAGATTTTGTCATACACTGTGGCTTGTGAGACATTTCCCATTAATAGACCAAAGACAAGTGTCCATGACTATACATGTAATTACAGTATGCTGATTAAAAAATAATTATTTTTATGATACATGTAGATGATAAGTCTGCCAATGGGGAATATAAAGGGGGCAGGGAGGGACGGGGGCAGGGGAAAGGGGGCAGAGAGGAAAGGGGGCAGGAAGAACTCCTTGGAGTGGAGACAGGAGGTTATCGATAGCCCTCCTGCTCCCCGTCCCTCTGCCCCCTCCCCCTGCCACCCCTCCCCCTGCCACCCCCTCCCCCTGCCACCCCCTCCCCCTGCCACCCCCTCCCCTGCTACCCCCTCCAAGTCCTCCCCCTTGGCCTTCTGGTTCTACTTTCAGGGCCATACAGCACAAAAAAACTCATTAAATTTAATATTTAATGAAATATGTATACATTGTATGATTGAAATAGTGTTAAGCGCCTGCATCATCTGCATACAGTAATTGTAGCATTTAATTTCAATGGTAAAGTTCAATGTCAGGATGATTTGCTGGTTGCTATATACTTGAATATTAAATAATATGTAGCTCTACCTTTCGGTCTATCTACCTTTCGGTCTATCTACCTGTATATCTCTTAATTTCTATCTATATATTCCTCTATTTAAAGGTAAAGACCAGATTATGGTCATGCAATTGCATTGTGAAAGAAACATTGTGGAATCGATCAGAAAAGGTTGATCATCTAGCATATAAGTATTGGTGTGTACTGCAACTTCTGCAAGGTTCTGGAATCATCAAAATGATAAGAAATTTGGCCCAGTCTTCGTAAAGTTACAAGCACTGTACACAGAAAGATGTATATGGGACTACGCACACGTGCGCGACACATGCGTTTAACTCTCACAGTCCAATAGATATACTAATTTACCAAATATATCAATTAGTAGGCGGTTTCCCGGCAAATTTTTTATCATCATGTATGAGTCAAAACTTATTCTTTCACATGATTGGTAATAAGAGCTTCCATTTCATTTTTTGAAATTGGGGCGTTACCAATACTGGTCTTTACCTTTAAATCTACCTTCCATTCATCTATATGTGATTTATCTTCTATCTACCCTATTCATATGAATGCTACCAATTGATATTATAAGGTCAATAATCTTTAACAGAGAATTTTCCAATGTTTCATGGTATCTTTGTTCCACTTCAGATCTTCCTCCCGTGAGGAGAGACGAAACAAGCTGTAGACGAGAAGGAAGGAAGGAGAGAACGAACAATCCCACCGAAATTGTTTTATGATGAGTGCCAAAACCAATCCCTCCAATACGTCGACGTCACAGTGTGACTGTCCAGAAAAGAAGAACCACCACAGCATTCTATATACGTTATTATCATCAGGGACATCGTCGACCGCGGCGCCGTCAGCATCGCCGAAGACGGAAGCGACGGAGGACGCGCAGTGCCAACCGATTAAGCCGGAAGAAGAGGAGGCGGGGAACAACCAACAGGAGGCAATATATCCGTGGGATTGCCCAATGAGGGCGCTACACACTCTACCCACGATCATCAGACTTAAACATGCGGAGGAGGCGTGTCCGTACGCAGCCCAGCTCCTCATCAAAACGGTCGATTTCATCAGGAATCTACCCGCGGTGCTGTGTCTGTCACGGAGCGATCGCGTACGACTCCTCCAGCACTGCTGGTCAGAACTCCTCATCCTAACCATGGCGCAATGTCAATTCCACATACAAGTTGAAAAAGTCTCCTTTCACAAAGACTCGCAAGACAACAACAACGTGAACACCGGTGTAAATAGTAAACCCGCGTCGTCGGCAATGTCCATCGCCAAATCCTGCTCGGAAAAGGATTGCCGCGAGGGCGCCCTACTGAAATATATTATTGCGACGCAAGGAATTCCCACCACGTCGGACATAGATACTTTAAATGCGTTTTTCCAGAAGTGTCAAACACTCCAGATCGACGATAAGGAATTTGCATATTTGAAATCAACCATCTTCTTCAATCCAGGTAAGAAAAAGAATGCATTTAAATAGTTTATTAATACAAGAAAATGGGTAAATTGTCTACATGTATGTTCATTTTTATTTGTAGGGATGCATGAATGATATGTTGAAAGTTGAAAGGTTATAAAAACTCAATACAAAACCAAATGTGTTTTGGCTGCGCAACAAGTAATAATTAAAATGTTCATTCTCATAACTTAAAATGGGGAAATATTTGTGTACACCTACCTGTATCTACAATGTAGGTAGATCCATCCATATTCTTTTCTGTGTATCCCGTGCACAACTATCATGAATGTACAGTAACTTTCTTCAAATTGCGTGTATTGTTATTTTTATTTTTCTAGAAGCTTATAAATGCTTGAGATGAGCCCTTTTCTGAATTTACCATGTCATTATCATACAGTACATCAAAAGTTAGAAGATCGTAAAAGTATATAAATGTTGATGTAATAAACATCATATCAAATCAACCCAAAACTAAATTGACAAAATGACTGTACTACTGAGTTAATTGATGTGATATACTCGTAGGTCAAAGACTATGAGTGTTTTATTGAAATGACGATGAGAATAATCTTAAGCAACAAAACTGTCTTTAAACACTCCTGGATTATTTTGCCAGTGATATTCATCTAGCAGTGTCGTTCATGTCTGTATGCATGCATTCTGTGCATAATATAGCACACATGTACATTTAATACATCAGCCATATACTGTGTTTGAAATGCATGGAATCAACCCTGTTTCCGTGCGGATGATATTGAACTCCCGACGACTACAACGGTGGAGCCATTCGATCGGCCGAGGGCATATGTCTGCCCTTGCACCTGGAGTTTGGATGGCATGGGGAGCTTTTTTTCTTTCTGGTGTGCGGGTATAGAATGGATGGTTTGGTGGAGAAGCGTCATGGATACGGCATGGATGGGGGTGGAAGAGAGAGAGAGAATGGGAGAATGGGAGAAGAGAGAGAGAAAGAGAGAGGGAGAGAGAGAGAGAGAGAGAGAGGGAGAGAGGGAGAGAGAGAGGGGAGGGGGTGAGAAGGGAGAAAGAGAGGAAGCAGAAGAGTATTAAGGGAGGACATGTTAGAAGTGAGAGAAGGAGGGAGGAAGGGAGGGAGAGAGAGAGAGAGAGAGAGAGAGAAGTGGGCGGAGAAAGGGAGAAGAAAGAGACAGCAAAGGGGGCAGGAAAAAGAAAAAGAGACAGAAAGAGAATTTAAGTAATTGAGGGAAAGAAAGGGTAAATGGGCGAGAAACAGAGGCTTAGAAACAGAAGATGAGTTTTAGAAAGGGGAGAGAAAGAGAAGAGGAGAGGGAGAGCAAGAGGGAGGAGGAGAGAAAATGGAGGACGGTAAGAAGGAATACGTGGGTCTACATGTTTGTGAAGTGTATAGAATACCAGATATTAATCCTTTGAGAAATTACTGCTGATGCTTGAAAAATAATCAAACAATGATTGCAAAAATAATCGAACAATGATTGTAAAAATAATGTCAGTACGATCTAGAAATTGACATTTTATGCATTTTTAATTTTTTTAATTTAGAAAAAAAGAAAAGTACTCTCCTAGATTCATGAGCATATATTGGAATGTTCTTACAGGTAGCTGATGCCATGCAAATGCTATTTTTTTTTTTTTTTTTTTTTTTGGGGGGGGGGGGGGGTATATTCCCCTATATTCTTGTTGGGTAAACAATGATATTAGAATTAGATGATAAACCAATGTACACACTGTTTATGCATTTTGGTTGTATACGTGTATTCCCATCTATCATTGTTAATTAAAGAAGGCTATTTATAAATGATCAACCAAAAAAGTACAGCCTTGTCTGCCTACAGTCTCTCATCACAAGTATACCAGTAGATCTTTCTTTATGAGTCATTGATCTATAAAAACCTTGTCTTTGATTACAGAGAAGACCTCCACAGTCTCCTGGTAACCTTGGACCAACTCTAGGACATTGCTTTTGATCCCTTTTGAAACCTTTCATTTATTAATGCAATATTTATATTGATGTTTTACTACAGTACATGTATGACATGGTTTGGACAAAAAATTCTGATAGGGAGGGGGATCGAGGGGGGAGGGGGAGCTAGGGGAGGAGGGAGGGAGAGGGGGAGGGGGAGGGGAGGAGGGAGGGAGGGAGAGGGGCACGTCAGATCCAGAACCACGTATGCAACCTGTTGACTCGAAGCCACCAACATTGAAGTTGCATAATAATATGATATTTGTATATTTGGGAGGGGGTGGGGTGTTGGCATAGCAGTAGCAGCTGTTTGAGTCCCAGATCGATGAACATTACCCATTGGTCCATAGCCCCATAGCCCCCAAATGAGTCATCAGAATTGGGGTTTTTCCAAGCTAAATGTCTAGACATTTTGATTGGGAAGGGGGGTGGGGGTGTTGAAATATTTCTGAAAGATCTAGAATGACAAGTTTGACCCATTCATTTAAAGCCACCACTAAATTACAAAAATGATTAGTTTTATGCTTTTTAACGCAGAGTTATTGCCCTTCTGGCTTTGATCAGATGATTTGCTGTGTCAAAAATAGCTATACAGTATGTACAATGTACATATAGTCGCTCAAGAGTATAACTTGTTAATGTTAATTATCAATTTCCTTGATTTCCTAGATTATAAAGATATCAAGTTTGTGTTTTTGATTCCTTTGATGCTACAGTATATAAACAGTGGCATATTTCACTCCTTATACAGTTGCATACCGGTAGTCACAAATTACTTTCTAATACATTTGTATATTAAGAGGTAGTTGGAGGTGTATCTTAAATAGTAAAACTGCTACAAGTTTAGGAAGAAAGACTTTGGCTGTAGGGCAAGATGGTTTCTAATTCTCTATGACCATTCATTCCCGATCCTTGTGAGTCATCGTCTCGGATATGAATGAACCTATCCTACAGGGACGTATTCCTTTTCTTTGTTTGAAACTTTGTAGGACTCTAAAGACTGGAACAACATGACTCAGTGTCTCATCCATAGTAACGAGCCTCCAAAATATTGTATGGATGTGAGTCGATATCTGACACCTTAAGACGTTGGTTAGTGCCTCGCGGGGTCTGGCGGTGCAGACTACGGCGTGAGTCATTGGCCCACTGAGGCTTCTGTATCGCGCTCCTGCCGATGTCTTACACCTCGACTTTTCAACCCTCTTCCTCCAGAGATAAGCGCGCAGAGAACCTTCTTTTCTCTCACCATTTCCTACTTAATCCCAACCTAAACATGTTGTCATTTATTCAATCCGATATATCAATGTCTAGACTTGCCAGGTCGCCGTGGCAACCGCGCTAGACCCACGCCATTCTCCATCCTACACTGCTAATCTCTCGAGTCACGACTTTCCTCTGGAGCATTTATCTTGGCTTCGAGAAGGAGATGCAGTCATGATAGTAGTGGCAGGGTTTTTAAGCGATTAGCGATACTGCCACGACCCAGGAGAAACAGACCAAAAAGTTTCTACTCGATTAAAAGGAATTAAATACACGAATTGGCGGCGATCACAAGCAACAAGTAGACCGTGCGGCTTATCTAATTGTCGGTTAAGCAATCAAATTCTACACTTCCTGTTGGAATGCAGTCTAATATATTAAGAATTTGTTCCTCACGTATTACATTTCTTACATGAAGGTACAAATAAGGATTGCCAGCTATAGGAACCGTGTCAACGCCATACCCTTTGGTAATTAATGGGGACTGTCTTTTTTGGAATTGTGGATCAACTTTAAATGTATCTAGGAGTCTTCCTGGCTGGTTCGATTTCTTACCGTCTTTTTTTCGAATTCTGGGTCGATTCTATTATATGTATCCAGGAGTTTTTCTGGGTAGTTCGATTTCTTACTGTCTTTTTCCAGATTCTGGATCAATTCTGTTATATGTATCCAGGAGTCTTTCTGGGAAGTCCTATTTCTTTGAGGCCCAAGTGTTCTTTGTAATCAGTCTGTCCAACTTCGCTAGCAGCGTCTTATTTTTAGAGTTACCCAGCATGTTGTGATTGATTTTTCCTGCCGTTCTCCCCCCTTTGGTTTCGAATCTTCCCCGAAATCGTGAGGAAACTGATTTCATGTGAGCGAGATGCAGACTGCAAAACAAGCAATCTTATATGAATCTATTTGTATCCTTGAAATGATAATATGTCAATGGCTATATTCTATATTCCCTTTGATTTGCTTTTAAAAAAAAAGTCCAATTTGAATGCCAAAATGCACTATTATTGAAAACAGCTACACTGCATATTCAATTCAATTTGATTTAATTCAGTTTATACATGACTACATGTGTAGCTATCAGAGATATATAGATGTATATGTACATGTATGTATACTCTGCAATTTAAAAGCCATTCTTACAATGTACCTTCAATAATTTCTACATGTACACAGCATAACATCATACTATGTTCCTGTGCAACGTAGGTCCAGTACATATAAACCCTAAACTTTAGCAATATTAAAGCGTTCGCGGATCATTGATGACGGTCAGTGTCAGGTTAAAGAAGTTTAAAAATAATTTGTGTGGTGAACTTGTAATATGACTTACATACGGCATTATTGTTTCACAGCATGCCTGAATGCCTGCTCAATTCACTAAAAAACACAAAAGTTTCTAGTTCTCATTAAGCATATCATATTGTGTACTGAGAGCTAAAGGGGCATTACAGTATGTTATGTCCTGGTTCAAAGCAGAAGATATATATATATATATATATATACTATACATGTAGGCCTACATATCACTTTAGAATACACCATCGCAAGAAACTGTATCTCCCTCGAGAGTGAGATATCCCCTCACTGACATGGGCTATTTGAGGTTTGGCGTGACGCGGTCGGTTGGTATTGCCCCCTCGTATGTCAGGCAGCAGGGTCTGCAAGTCGCATTACGGAGTAGGGCTGACATGGGCCAAGCCTAGCTTTGCACGCACATACTCCCTAATGAGCTTAACACGCATAGCCTTAGCGCTGGCCTGGCTGCCCTTACGCTGTACCTGGCTTCCTGAACAGACCATTGACTTCTCTTTTTCTCCAGAGAGCTAGAGAGAGAGAGAGAGGGAGAGAGGATAGAGAGAGAAAGAGAGAGAGAGAAAGAAAGACAGACAGACAGAGACAGTGGGAGAGAAAGAGAGGGGGAGAGAGAGAGAGAGATAGAAAGAAAAATAGAAATTGGGCAAAG